CGATCGAAATAACACTCTTTATAAGCTCAACATCTGTTGAGCTTTTTCTTCCCCATACAAAAAGAAACGAACCGGAATCATCGATTACTTTAAAAAATATTTCGAGTAACAGTTAATTCATTTATGTTAGTTAAGTCAAGTCAGTAGTAGCTTTATGCACCCGGACTGATGAATTTTCAGCATTTACACCTTATTTGTGGATTCGAATTTACAAAATCATCACATATTGAAACTGAAAGCAGTAGATTGTGTTTTTGCCAGTGAAGCAAGCAATGGCGCAATTCTGTGGAAACTTTCTCCTTGTCAATAAGTAGATGTGCTATATATGGCAAAACAGAATTGCGATAAGTAGAGGTACTTGCGAATAGGATTTTAAATCGTGTGGATGATGTAGATACAGCTTTTAAAAATTCGTTGTGTAATGGGTGTTGAGTGTCTGAGACTATTTTGGCAGTGAAATTTTCACATACTTGTAGATGTCTGTCTATGACAGAATCGAGAAGTTTATCCCTGACAATACAACTACATTTAGATATATATTTCAGAGATCTCACCAGTAAATAAAAGTCTTTCGTCAACATACCGGAAAAATCACTGGGGAGCAATACAACCAGTGGGGTAGCACGCATGCATTCACAAACCTAACAATCAGCTTACGGAGAACAGAAAGTATTCTGAATCGGAGTGAGAAATACGAGAGCTTTCTAACTTTACAGAATGTGTTTTGAGCATGCAGTGATCATGATAAATTGCGTAATAATGTGACGCCAATGCATTTTACCATTGTTGATATCAGCACGGGTTCATGATTGGCGGAGAGGGTGGGGAACCTATCTGTGAGAGCTGAATATAGCACATCGGCCAAGAGGGAAAACACAATATCTTGACATTTAGAGGCATTTAATAAGAGGGAACGGGACAAGGATCAAGTAACAACGTCGTTTAGCTTGCTTTGAATTGCGGAAGATTCCTCAGGGATGGATGCTTTGCAACCTAGAACAACGTCATCTGCGTATTTACAGCCAATGAATGCAGCAGGAATGGGGAATAATTTGACATACATTAAAAAGAAAAATGGGTAAAATATTGCACCTTGAAGAACACCAGAAGCAACTTGGCGAGTGGAAGGTCTTTTTCTGTTGAGGCACGTAAACTGCATGCTATTTGTGAGACAGTCGCGGATCAATCTGCTAATGTTTGGATTAACACCACTTCCGGTAATCAAGTTGAGCAATACCGATCGATCAAGTCTGTGGAAAGCGTTTTTGTTGTCTAAGAACACCATTCTGATGGTCTTACTTTTTTATATAGTGCCGAAATTATTGAATGAACAAGGTATGCAACGGCATCCAGTATTGAGCCCAAAGAATGACATGCAAATTGATTTATGTCGTCTTAGGCGGACTCAGTGACAACCCACAGTATCAAGCATCTCTCAAATAATTCGAGCATGACTGACATGTAGTCGATATGATGATACTTCCTAGGTTCCTTTTTTGAAACGGGAGTTATTTTGGTTAGTCTCTAAATATCAGGAACTTTTCCGCTTATCAGACAGTCATTGGATATTTTAGACAATGGGGCTGAAAAGGGTGCCCGCACATACTTTGAGTACTGCCCGTAATAGTTCATCAGGGCCCGATGGTTTATTCAACTTAGTTTTCAGTAGCTGTTTCAGGACTGTGGCGGGTTCGATAGTTGACGTCAGCATATAGCTGACTAAGTCTGGCAGGCCAGTGCACCGTGAAACTGGACTAAACTCAGAATGTAGTCTTTTAACGTGGACAATTTCCTTTTTGTGTTTATGGCTACTGCCACACAATCGGTTGATAGCTCTCCAATAATTGGACCTGAACGTGCTGGCCAACTTCTCTCACCACATAAGCTTCTATTAGGTGTCGTACTGGAGCAGTCTTATATGCTGGAATACCTGATGCTTTTATCAGAAACACATGGCCATGTTTTTTATGCAATTTCCAGTGAGAAACTCGCGATTAAAAAATACTTTTCTCAACGCTTTATCGATTTGGAGCGTAAATTCCCTGGACAGCTATTCGGCACTCGTTCAAGTGCAATCAGTCAGTGTCTTTCATTCTTCTATCAGCTTGTGTAGGTCATATAAAGATGTGGTATGGTTTAGGAATATTTTCGAAGTCGATCATTTGTTCTAATAGCTAGAATGTGAAGACGTATATTATACCTGATATTGCTTCTATTTGAGTAAATTCATTGACGGAACCAACTTTATTTTACCAAAAATTGTAATTCTTGTAATTTCGGAATATATTCACCTTTGAAGGGTTAGCTATTTTTATCACAAAGCCTAACCACTTGACCACTTTCGAGAAAGTACTTGAGTTTTGCCAAAGTTACTCAAGTAGAAACCTGCTATCCGACTGATAGTAGGGCAATATAAAAGTGCATTGCGCGTTTTCGGTAGTTTCATCAACAACAACAGCTGTATGACTTACTCGTGGCTGAAATTGAGCTAGCGTCATCGATCGGGTTTTTGCTAGTTTCCATGTCAGCAAGTAAACAATAGAATCCACTGAAAAAATGATTCTTGAACTGGTTGAAGAGAAACCAAAAAAGAACATGAACGACCAGGGATTCGAACAAACAATTTAAACTCTACCAAGAAACGAATATCCTCCAATTTCAGTTGTAATCCGACCTGTCGAATTCTGTCCGGCCATAGCCTGGGGTGGGAATCGTCTGGGGCCAGGGGAGTATCATTCACTGAACCAGTCACCTGATCCACTTTTCTCATATCTCTTGTCGGTTTGTCAATCTTTGACTTTCGCTCCGGTTCTGTATTTACTCCGACCGTTCGTGATTCTTTCGAGGCACCGTTTGCCTGGGCCTCTGATTGGGACTGACGCAGTCCGGTTAGATAGATCAGAATGGCCAGGATGGCACTGAGCAGATAGTCCAGGCTGTGCGGGGTTGGACTCGCACCAACCAGACAGAGCATGATCTGATCCCAGACGAATAGTAAGATATCGGGTTGTAGAAAACCTTAAGTTTTGAGGTGTAAAACGGAAAGTGGAAACCCCGCGGACAATCAAAATCGAATTGTAACTGGTATATTCTGGCATATTTTTTCTCATCCAGAGTGCTGTTTATTAAAAGGAATTCAACATAAATTACCAACATATTGGATAGTACAGAATAATAGGTAGTGTCACTTTTAAACTGCCCGGTTTTGTAATTAAAACAAAGGAACATTTAAAAAAGTCGAAGCAAATAAAATGACGGTATATGATAAACGCATCTGTTGATAAGCGAAGTTAACTTCTCGAATCGTACTACTCGAACAAATGTATGCTGGACAATCGAAAATTTCTCGCTTGTTGGATGTGGAATTGAGCTAGGAAGCTGCGTCTATCAGGGAATCAGGTGATGTGCTAGAGGTGTAACAGCAATGACGGATGCATAGCAGGTTGTGTCGAAATGGTTGGAAGCGTCGCTGCCTTCCGACCCCTTGAATCTCCTATTCCAGTGATTCATTTATATCAAATCACACAATTTGGATTACTAAGTAACTAAGTTTTTTTGTTCAAATTGCCTTTTGGCAGATTGAAGTCTTCAGTTTAAATAGGGAGCAGTTCGGTTACCTCGGTGGGATTCGAACCCATGCATGGACGCCGCCTACGTTTTTGTGCAGCGCATGCTCTAACAGATAAGCTACGAGGCCACACCAATCGCACTGATCATTTCATGTTGAAATAAACCATCCAAAGTGTAGGCGGCGTCCATGCCTGGGTTTGAATCCTAATATGACTTTCACCCTTTTTCTGCTGTTCATAACACAATGGTGTGCAGTAAACAGTTTTCTGACTGACAGCCCGGATAACCAAGCTGATTTTGAAGTTGGATTACCCACGGCTCTTATCCTGGTTCGAATCCTAGTGAACTTAGTGAATACGCATCGGTGATCGCTTCTATCTAGTGGGGTCAAAAAGTGTACGGTGCTCTTAGTGCTTCTCAGTGGTAGGTGATAAATCACGTTAGGCAATGATTTATTGCTCGAAAAAGAAAATAAATTTTCAGAAATCGCTTCTAATCGGACGACCGATTACTTCATCATTCGTTTTATGTTGCGACCTGATGGATTTGGCTTGACACATTTAGTTCTTCTCTTACCGATGATAATATATGGCTTACGGAGTAAATGGATCAAATGGTACTGAGTGACACATCTAGAGGATTCATTTTCAATCATTCTTTATCAGTATGTGCGCAAAGGCGAACTATGGGTTGAATAGTGGGAACGCGA